ATACGAATATTACTTGCGGTCAAAGTCTTCAATATTTATTATTTGATGTTTTTTTCTCCGACACCATATAAGTTTTTGTAGTCTCGGATTACTATATGTTCTTCATAAGCCATTGAAAGAAACGAACGTACGTTGCATACATTTTTAAAATCAAATTTATATTTCTGTCAAACCGACTCAAATGATCAAAGTTAAACTAACTATCCACAATTAATTGTATTTTTTAACTAAAAATCAAGTCGAGTTAACATTTTAGTTTTATTAGGCAACTAAACCACATCGTAAGTTTCGAAAAAAAAAAATATACGAAAACCAACAAACTTAAACAAACCAATTATAACACAATATATCTAAATCATTCAATATTTTACTTGCATTTGTGAGAGTTTAGGCTCACCTATTAGGATTTATTATCCCTTAAGTTTTAAGAAATATAATTTGTTCAGTATTTTATATTCATTTGTGAGGGTTTAAGCTCACCTATAAGGGTTTGTGTTAGTTTCAAGTGCAAGAATAACCAGCCTGGGTACATACGGCCTAATTTAACCGAAATACTCATAATTAACCATCCACTATCATTTTTTAGTCTGCTCTCATTTGTTCTATGCGCATACTTATGTTTTCTAATTCATAGATATAGCATTTAAATTTTTAGCAAATTAAAAACTTCTAAATATTATTGCGTGAGTCTAAACAATCATAAATGTAAGCAAAACATTTAATTCGATTTGTTAAGAGGGGCTAAACCCTAAGAAGAGAGACTATAGAAAACTTTGGTTCGTATGTAACGTTGTAGAAAGAAATTTTTTTAATTCGATTTGGTTTTTAGTGAAAATTACTACAACAATCATGGTATGATTATAACAACAATAAAAGAAAACGTAATATCGTATATTACTAATGATTTCTTTCTTTTTTTAATTTATTGGTATACTGTTTAAATTTTTAGCAAATTAAAAACTTCTAGACATTGCTAAACGAATGTACACAAAACATGATTTTATATGATATTTCTGAACATGNATTTACCCTCTAGATACGTGTATGAATTCTGATACACCAAAAAATGAACAACGCGAGTACAATTTTTGTAAACGAAAAATCAAACCATTAAGCATTTTATTGATACTGAAAGTAAAAAGCAGAAAAACTAATCATAAGGAAACAAACACACATGTTTATTATTGACTATGCAAACAAACACGTTTCTTTCTTTTGTTTCATGAAAAAATGATAACACATGCCCACATGGTGAACATGATTATCCGATTGTGGTTAAGCTTCGACTATGT